ACATGGACAGACTTAACCATAGTTTTAACTGGGAAACTGTCAGCATCTTAGACCAAGCTAATCCAAAAACACAAGAGAATTTTTGGAAGATTGGTATTCAGACAAAGCAGCCATCAACAGGCACAGAGATAAACAACATCTACACACTATTCAAAAGAGACAAAAGAAAGGAAAACAAAAGACCAGAACAACTCCTCAGCAGCAATCATCACCCAGATATACAGAGATTAACACAAAGATTACCACCAGACATACAAGCAATAAACAATACCTCCACAGTTCAACCCTGAGCTACACATATTCGCTTCTTTTGGAGCCTCACCTATACTGAACTTAATCACAACTCAAGCCTAAATATTGTGTGGTGCCAAGGTTCCTGTTCATTTTAACTGATAATAAAATATCCAATCCCATGCAAACACACCAGAAGAATATCCAATGTCTTAAAAAACAGCATTCCCCATGGAGGGGACTCTAGTTTCTGCCAAAGTTACTTTTTAAAAAAAGTTTCATTTTTTAGAAAATGAAAACATTGCTAAAGAACAACATTTTTACTGCACACAAGCCTTTTTTGAGGAAAGTACAGACAATGTTATCTTTATTATAACAAATGGAGTCAAGGGCACAAGGACTTTCTCCATGATGCTGTATAAGGAAAGAAGACAAGCCTCAAGTTTTTGGTAGGCAGCAGAGAGAAGTTGCATTTTACAAAAGCTAACAAATTTTACCTGCTGCAAACCTAGATCATTTGGCTTGTTCAATTAAATATAACCCGTAATTCCTGTACAAATTCAATAGTCATTCAAATGGTTAAAATAAGGTGAATGATTTTCAGAATAATTTAGGACAATAAGCCCACATTTTACATTTAAGCCTTAACCCACATGGTTTTGCCACTCTACCTTGTAACTGTTTTAATTAACTAACATTTTAAAAATAGATGAGTTTGATAAAGTTATATGTGAATTATTAAATTATTAAACTTGTGGAGTTTTTGAAATGAAACAATACTAGCTGTAAAGGTCTCTGACTTGAACAGCTTCAGTCTCTCCAATATGGTGTGTCCCTGGTTAAAAAAGGATTCAGACAATCTAAATCAGGTGAAATTTTAAAAATCCAGCAAAACAATTGGGAATTTACATGTGTATATACGTATATAGCCATGGTATTAAATAATATTATTCAAAGTCCAGAAATTAAATTAAATCCAGTTTAATTTAACACCATACCTTCCCACGCTTTAGTATTCTTAGGTCATCCTTACTGCCATCATGTCTATGCACTGTTTCATATAATGCATTTTGTCCTTTAAACTTTGCAGTTCTCTCTTTCTAAGGAATTTATCAACTCTATCCAACCACGACTTTTTCAGTCCTCCCCTTTCTCCTGACTCATTCATTCTTCCTTCATATCTTGCAATTGAATCTTCATACATTCTGTCTATATGACAAAATCACCTCAATGTACTTTTTTTATACTGTTCACTGACTTTTGAATTAAATCATCGGCCATTCATTGTTGACTCTATCTCATTTTACCACACAATTTCATAGGTTCCCACTGCAGCCAACTTATTCTTTTTTTTCTTTTTTCTTTTTTCTTTTTTTGTTCATTTTTTCTGTTTTCTGTACCCAACTCATTTTCATGAGAAGAATGGGTAGAAGAGTGGGAAGAAACACATTGTTACACAAAGATACTTTGATTTCTTTTGATATTCATTCCCCACAGCAAACCACATACTACTTAACCCTTTCTATCAGCATTTGCACATTTTAAAATTTATAAACATTCAACATATAAACGTATAAAACATAAACATTCAACCAAGGTGCACAAGTTCATCTACTTGCCCTAATTTTTCATCATTCTTTCCTTTATTTGCCCTCTCACATACAATTAATACATATTTCTGATACGTTAATTTTCAGATTCATACTGTTTTTTGCATCATACAAACTACTGTTGTAAATCATTTGTGTATTCAGCCAGCATCATCTGTATATTAAAGTACAAACATATCGATGCCCCCAAACAATACACCTCTAACATCACCAGAAATATTCCTTTATACATTGATCCATGAATACATTAAACAAAGAAATATCTTGTTTTATTCCCTGCTTAGTGTTGCCCCATTTGTTAAGTATGCCATTTATATTCATGCATGCTCTACCACACCATATACCACACTTACCACTTTCAAGAACTGATCTGCAACTCTATATTTGTGCAAACTTTCTATAATTCACTTTAAATATAAACATAATTCACTTCTTCCTAAACAACAAATGTACAGTAAACTATCTTTCACACATTCATATATTTCAGTAGTGATCTACTGAACAAAGTCTCAGTTGCACATCCCGCTGACCAGCGAAAAGCCAGACTGCAATTTATAAATTCTGCTCAGTCACCTCTTGTACTTTTCCAATCAGAATTCTTTCAAGCACCTTCCCAGGCACATTTCACAAACTAACCCATCAGTAATTTCTGCATTCACTTTTATTACATTTCCCCTCATATAGGGGAACAATAGCATTCTTTCAAATTGTCAGACACAGATGTTATCTTCATAATTTTCCATATTTCCTCCCATTCCCACCCATCCCTTAACATCACCTAAAAAAATATTTTTCCCCTGGATCACACTCATTCAAAATATTGCATAATTTTACTCTAAATTCATATCTGGTTCTCTCCCATTACCATCATTTACTGAAATATAACATGCAATTATCACCAATCCATGGGTTCCTACTTTTACATGTACTCACAACAGAAATGACACCAATTCATACTTTCTGATAAATATCTTAGCCTCTTAATTCAGATTCATCAACTCTATAAGATCAAACCACTGTCATCAAATCTTAGTCTTCTTCCCTCTCCTAGTCTCACACTCAACATATTTTTTTTCATTTAGCACTTACCCTTTACTGAATACATCTGCTATGTTCCAAGTTGTAATCTTTCATATGCCATGGATGTCAACCAAATGACGACAAATATTTAAGAAAAGCTTAAGTATGAGGGAACATTTTCTTTCACTATCGGCATATAATGGCATCTAACAATAAGAAATGAGTGACAACAAATAACAGGGAAGAGAGAAAGGAGTCACATAGAGATTGTGGCTATCATGCAATCATAATAATTATATAATTCTAACTGAGCTAGGTATGACTGTATGAATGGTGTGAATTGAATAGTCAATAAACAAACTTTATTAAGCTTAGCACAATGCTTTATTTTAGTTAAGTATTAAAAGACTAATCCATTAACACTGCAAAAATGTGTATGTACAATACTTTGCAAATTAAAGATCTAATAGACTGGGAAGATGGGGAGGAGAGGCAAGCTCTGTGAAGATTA